AGGAAGGAAGGAAGGAAGGAAGGAAGGAAGGAAGGAAGGAAGGAAGGAAGGAAGGAAGGGTCTTACAGGTTAGGCTGGCTGAAGTAAAACTGGCTATGTAGAGCAGGCTAGCTTTGAACTCACAGAGCTCTATCTATCTGCCTGCCTCTGCCTCCTGAGTGCTGAGACTGAAGGTATCAACCACCATACTTGGTTCTTTTCTCCTGTCCACCCTTTCCTTTCTTCAAATGTGTATAGATATTTTGCCTGCATTTATGTCTGTGAACTGTATGCATGTGTACCTGGTGCCTTAAGGAGGTTAGAAGGTCATTGGGTCCCTTAAAACTAGAGTTACAAATAGTTGTGGGCTGCTATGAGGATGCTGGGAATTGAATCCAGGTACTCTGGAAGAGCAGCCAAGTGCTCTTAACCTCTGAGTCATCTCTCAGCAGTTATTATATTTGTATTTACTTTGTGTACATGTTCATGCATATGGAGATCAAAGGACTTCTTAGCAGCCAAACAGGACTTCCTGATACTTTGGCTCTCCTTTACATAGAATGCAATGCCTGCTCTGCCCCAGATCAGCTTCCTTTACTTCTCCTATCAGCCAATGTCCAAGCTCATGCTACTTCTTGGCCAGAACATTCCCTCACCCTTCTCACTCGCTTTTGTTATGTTCTTCTTTCTGTGTCTTAGCTCAGGTGTCTTCTGCTTAAGTGTTCCACTCAGTGCCTGACACCCCAGACACCCACAGGGAAGTCTTATTGTGCTTTCCTATTCCAAGAGGCCAGAACTGTCAGGACAATTGGTACAGAACAACCTGAAGTGGGGACAACTTGCAAAATGGCATGCATTATCAACTCTAAAAATACACACAGGTTTCACAGAGACATATTACTATTAAAACAATGGAGTAAAGTTTTTCATTGGTTGATTCTCTAACCTTTACCTTGGAGTAAACAAACAAGGCAATACTCAGTATCATGTACTTTTATAAAATGACTTAAAACACATGTCTAGAGGGAAGGCAATGTCCACTAGAAACTCAAGCAGCTTATAAGCAGCTGGTGAAATTTTTTAAGAGGTCCTTATTAAAGAGAAGAAGCACTTTCTGAAGTAGGCGACTGCACACCTCTCGCCTTTCTGAAATGACTGATTATTATGGGAGAAAACTTAAGTGAAAAACCTACCAGACATAACACAGATGTTCAGTTCTTTAATCAAAGAAATGTCACTACGACTCTGAAAATGGCAGGAAGTGTATATGTGCCTATGTGCTGTATTTGAGCACAGGACAGGGAAAAGAGCAAGCAAGAAGAAAAATAAAACTCTTCACATTTTGAGTCACAGTATCTGCTTTGACAAAATGACATAGACAAGAGATCCTGAGCTTTGCAACTGGAATCTCATCTCTGTAACCATGCTACCATCATAAAGCACTGATCTTTACTCACTTCATGAAAAGGAACAGGCAAACTGTTCTTGTGCATCAACAAGCAGATCATAGAACATAAATGACATGGGCCACCAAGACAGCGCAAGCCAAAACTCAAGAATGTGTTAGGAAAAAAACCTCTCTCCCTTACCTTTCGGCAGCGAGGATTAGGGCAACTGAACCTTTTCACATCACTGTCCAATAGAGCAGGGAAACTACAGGAAGGGCACCTGGAACAAACATGAAGGTAGTGTCTCTCAAGACGGTTGAGTCAGTTTCACGGGATTGTGCCACCAAGATGGGGTGTTATGCAAGGCAGACAGCGCTTTGTACTCCTTAGCTTTCACTATAACCTAGGCTGAGCTTCTTCCTATCCTTGCACTTACCAGGAACCACAGGCACCATCCCAAAGTCCAAATCTACTGTCAACCACATTTCAAGGGTTCCTTTTAACAATTATTTTCCTCCTGCCCAGGGCACTGTGATTCTGCTACAAACTAGAAGATTAGGTAGTAAGTAAGGCTTGTAGATAAAGATTGCATACATAGATGTTTTCATTATAAAGCCTAATTATTTCATTTCTTAGCAAGAAGAGCCAGAGAATATAGACAAGGCAGCTCTGCCACAGAATATTCTGATCTGATGACAGAAGACTTCACCCTGGGGAACTCACCGGACAAGCTCATCAGCATAAGCTGCAGCAACTTCTTCCTCAGCTTTCCGTTCATAGTATTTGTACAGAATGGTTTGGGGGAGCACCTTCTCCAGTTCACTGGTTGGGAAGGAACATGTGCAGCTGCCTTCCATGCAGCTGAGTTCTGACTAGAATAAAGTAAGCAGACAAGAAAAAAGCTAACCGAGGATTCGGAATAACAAAGAACTAAAGAAGTCAAACACATCTTTTAAAGGAAAGGATGGTGGCAAGAACACAAACATGGAGGTAACAAAGTCCTTTTCCTCTTTGAGAAATCACTCTTTAAACCAGGGAGCCATTATGTAAAAGCATAAAGGCTTTCTTTGATCCTAGCAGAGGATCCTCCAGCAGCCTAAGCTACAGTCTACGGAGATTGAACACCAATGGCTAAGGTGACAGACAAGGCTCAGTGAGCTGGAGGAGGCTGGCTTCAGTGTCTGAAGTAAGCTGCTTCCCTTGTAGGATCTGCAAGGCTGGAGACCCTCTGGGAAGGGGAGGGGAGAGGTGGTTAACTAGTTAAGAAATGGAGAGGGAGTGGTTTGGGCTTCTCTTCTGACTTTCTCTAAATGGGAATCAATAGAAAGGGGAAAGGTTCAGGGACAGCAGAGCTTAAGTATGGCCTCAAGTAAAGACCTAAAGCACAACCTGCATATGCAATAGTGATGTCCCCAAGTCCTTCTTCCCACTCAGTTCTAGAATGCTGGGACAGGGGCAATTTCATACCCACATCCAGTGAAAATGCCTTAGATTGTCATTGGAGGATCACAGTATGAAGCACTAACTATTCAGGCACCAAAAGTACCTGTGGCTCAAAACCCTTTCAAACAGACCTTTAAGAATAGAAAGTGCTAGCTAGGGTGGGCAGATGGTTCAGTGGTTAAGAACACACACTGGTAAGTGTAGCTCTAATCCTCCATCAAGAAAGCTTCTTTTTGCAGCAGACAGACATGACAGAGCTGGCCAAAATACAGAGGACAACCAACATTAGGGTACCTAGCCCCAAATGATACATCTGTAACACAACCCCCACATCTAAGGCCAAAGGAACATCAAGAAAGGGGTGGAAGAACCAGAGGACCAGGATGTCAGCGGCAAGATACCATCTTCAATATTTGACAGGGAAACCGTACACACAAAATCTCAACATGCCAACATAGATGGGAGAAATCTCTCCAGCTCCCACCCCAAAATGAAGAGGTTCAGATATTAATGGATGTCAACAGAGGGGGAAAAAAATCATTTTTTTCTAGGGATAACCCCTTAAACATACATATAACTCAGCAGGTTAAATTACACACTATTAAAAAATAAAAGGTCAAATATTTGAGAAAGGGCAGGCACAGGAGACACTGGATAGACTGTATGTGTGTGTGTGTGTGTGTGTGTGTGTGTGTGATACAAATAAAGAATTACATATGAAACCTTTAAAAATAAAAGGCCACATTCTGGATCACTGTATTAGGTTTTTGTTTTTTTCCTTTTTCTTTCGCCTCCTCTCTTCCTCTTTCCCCTCTTCCTCAGTACTGGGGGTGGAACCCAGGACCTTATACTTGTTGGGCAAGCACTCTACTGCTAAGCTATAGCCCCAGCCCTTCCCCTATTTATTTATTTTTAGTTTGAGACAGTGTCTCACTAAATTGCTCAGGTTGGCTTTGACCTTGTTATCCTCCTGCTTCAGCCTTCTATATAGCTGGATTACAGGCCTGTGCCACTTGGCTTTTACTTTGCTACAGTGGCTGGAAGAGATATAAAACAATACACAACTCCTCTTAATATTGTTTTGCTGGTGTTGAGTGAAATGGACTCTGGACAGAGAAATATGATCTTACACTTACTATGCCTTTTTACAGAAACTATAAAGTCATTTTAAAGTATGTAAAAAAAAAATAAATACTAATGTGCTTTCACATATTCAAACGAATTGAAGACTCATCCTGAGCTCAACTTTATCTAACTGTGACCAGGAAGGTGAGGGCTGAAGCAGGGACTCATGGAGCTAGACACAGGGCATGAAGGAGCCTACTGAGAACCAACATGACCCAAATCAGGTCATGCACATATCAACCCATCAGCAGTTTGTACACAAGAAGTGTACCTGTTTATGAGCACCAGCACCTTTCATATTTAGGCGCAGCACAAACACCTCACCTTTCCAGACCCAAACACTGCCTCTTGGGCATATCTGATGAGACACTCTTTGCAGAACAAGTGAGCATCAGCACACTGTGTTAGCTCCTCAAAGGGAAACTCCCCATAGCAGCAGCGGCATTCAATCAGCTGGCCGTCCTACAAGCCAAAAGATACATGTGAATACCTCAAACCCTACATTCAAGGCTAAGGCCTCATCTATAACCCTACACAATGAGGTAAAAATTGACCCCTGTGAGATACCAAACAACAAACTTTTTTCTCTCTGTCTAAACCTAGCTCAGAAGCTGGGCACCATGCAGTATATGTGCATGACAGGACTTGGGGCACTGAGAAAGAAGCAACTAGATCTTGAGGACAACTGGGGCTATGGAATGAGAACTTGTCTCAAAAAGCAAGTAAATAAATAAAAAAACAACAAGCCCAACCCAGATTATCAGTATAGCACCACACCACAGCTAAAGAAAGACAGTGAGCAACGGCTGCTTGATGTGACTGTAAAAGAGTTAATGGCATGACACATTATCCCAGAACCTTTCTAAAGCTGAATTTTATTCCTCTTGTCAGAAGACAGGAATATGAAGCGATCACAAGCAACCCTTGCTTTAGGTTAAAGAACTGAGGAAATTAATTGAAGTCAAATCCTGAAATACATGCAGAGATGCAATGTCAGTGCTCTCTGAAGAGACTGCTCCAGTCTCTCACCCATGCTTGAAAAGATCACTAAGCAACTTGGCAAATAAGGATGGCATAGACAGCCCTGCTCCGAGCTACACAGAGGGATCTGAATTCTATTTCCTTCTAGTAACTGCTTAGTGGATTTCTGCTCATACTCTTTTAAGAAGATATCTATCTCCTTATAGTTCTGTTTTGGTCTTGTATGAAGATAGCCTCCCCTAGCTGATATTATTGTGATGTGAGCGAAGTACAAACTCACAAGTCAATAGGAGGTTATATAGAAAAAGTTTGCTTTCAAAAGCCAAATGAGTACATCCAGAATAAGTTAACTTGGTGAGATTTCAAAATACCTTTTGATACTGCTCTTCATTCATCTGCAGGGCAAGCAAAAAGTCTTCATGCTGAAGAATGAAAGAATCAGATATTCAGATACAAATGTAGAAAGGAAACTAGTTATTAGCATGGGTTTCAATTAATGCACATTATTAACAGTAGCTTGTCTTTTGCTACTTTGTGGCTTCTTCTAATTGTCTCCTAACAGCATCTGTTCTGGCTCAACTGCCTTCTATTTTCACTGGGCTCAATCCCCTTTCTGCATCATCTGCCTTTTCTTCTCTAACCCTACTCAAGGTTATGGCCTTATTTACTACAAAAGATTCTCCAGAGCCCTGTATAATTTCTGTGAATGATGTAGACTTCTTTTTTCCTGACTCAACCTTGCCCCAAGCTCTTAAAGCTGCAAAACAACATTATTCCATGATTTTTGTCTTCAAACTGAACCTGTTTGTATACTAGCACAACATGCTTCACCTATCAACTGGTCTCCCCCCACTCTATTATACTGTTCCAAATTCTTGGCTTCTTCTCTCCATTACAACCACTGCAACTGAGGACCAGCCTCTAATACCCTCCAGTCTTGGGGAATAATTCTATTTTGAGTGGCCCAATTATTTAGAGTTTGTAGGTTCATCATTTCTACAGGATGCCATCCTATTCCATCATAACCTTGTGGATTATTCCCATTAGTAGGCAAATGTTGTATAGCTACTGGGAATGCTGTTGGTGATTTTATGAGGGCTGCCTGCCCTCAAAAGGTGCTGTGGGTTTCATCCTGTCTTCTGGAAAGAGCTGTCTCATCTGACCATCCTCCTGCTTTTCCATTTCTTTGATCTCACTGCCCTTTGACACAGTTCCTTCCTCTCTTTCTACTTGGGGAAACTCCCCTTCTCTGGTTCAGTCAATGGAATGAACCTATTTTTCCCCCTTTTCTATTTTTTGATTGCCAAGCCTCTCTAATTCCACCTGCATTTTTTCCAGTAGCTCAGCTACTCTTCTTTTTGTTTGTTTCGAGACAGGGTTTCTCTGTGTAGCTTTGGCTGTGCTGTACCCACTTTGTAGACCAGGATGGCCTCGAACTCAGAGATCCTCCTTCTCTTGCCTCCCAAGTGCTGGGATTACAGGTGTGTGCCTAGCTCCCGTATGTTATTAAAAATAAATAAATAAATAAACATCAGGGAAATAGGGAATGTTAACAGATTGAGTAAACTAACCAATGGATCTGTTACAGCCAGATTTTTGTTTTTGTTTTTGTTTTTTGAAACAGGGTTTCTCTGTGTACCCTTGACTGTCCCGGACTTGTGTGGTAGACCAGTCTGGCCTTGAACTCACAGAGGTCTGCCTGCCTCTGCCTCTGAGTGCTGGGATTATGGGCATGCATGCCCGGATACAGCCAAAAATTTAAATAGCACAACAGAGAAAGAGAAATTAGTATAGTGAAGGGCCAGTTGGTAGGTGAAGGTCAGTATGCTGATATAGAAGAACAGGTTTAATTTGAAGATGCGGTCAGAGAACAGTGTCATTTTACAGCTTCATGAGCTTGGGACAAAGTTGAAGATCCAAGAAAGAGGTTAGAAAGGCTAAGTATCTGCTCAACTAAGTACCAGAGTGTTTTAAAAAAGTCTCCATGTCATTATTTCAGAGCTACAGTAGGTATTACAAAAACCTTGCATTTTACACATTTTGCTCAATAGAGTCATTTCAAGATTTGGAGAAGTAACAAAAAACAACAAATACTGCCTCAGAATGCTTTATCAGAGATATTTCCATATGAAAGTAGTTTTTCTTAAGAGACAAGGTCTCAGTACACAAGGCCTTGAACTTGTGACGTCTTCCATGTAATAGGACTATAGGTTGTACACCACCATGACTGACTAACACTGGCATATTCTATTATTTTCTTGGTTGTCTGGGAATTGAACATAGGACCTCACACATGCTAAGTCAAATGTTCTCCCACTCAGCTATATTCTGGGCCTTCCCTTACTAAGTTATCTAGGCTAGCCTTGAACTTTTATTAATCCTTTGGCATTTGCCTCCAGGGTAGCTGGGATTTCAGTATCACACATGAATAATATTGGCATCCTAAAAAAAATATGAGTGCAGGGAGACTGCTAAGTGACCACTGCTTGCTACAAATTTAACACAGTTCAAAAACAAACAAAACAGGGCTGGAGAGATGACTCAGAGGTTAAAAGCACTGGCTTCTCTTCCAGAGGTCCTGAATTCAATCCCCAGCAACCACATGGTGGCTCATAACCATCTATAATGGTAATCTGGTGCCCTCTTCTGGCCTACAGACAACATGCAAACAGAACACTGAATATAAAATAAATATATTTTTAAAAACACTAATTAAAAATAGAAAACAACAAACTTTATTTTTATGAGAACGTGGCCGAAGGTGGTGTGCATTTTATCTGCACTACTTAGGTAAGGCTTTTCTGCCTTGTTATTTCCTGGCTGACAAAAGGCAAATTGCTTTTACTTTTTGCTGTGAGGCCTCAAGCTAGGAGCCTCTTATTGTTTCCCAAGGCAAGAGATTGCCTTGAATATCTCTCTTGGACCTACATTCACTGGCCCAGCGGCAACCCTTGACACATCTACTGCACACCCCTGGAAGTCTGGGCCTTCTTTTTTATTTATATTTAGAAAAATCACTGTCCTCAGATATGTTCTGTTCACAATTTTGTTTCCTACGTTCACATTTCCCACAATTAAAACATTTGGCATTTTAATATCAGAGACCTATAGCTATAGCTTGACTTATGGTACTGGCATGGTATATGTTAGAACCAATATCATTAGAATTCTTTCTTCATTTGTCTAAGGGCGGCATTTACTAACTGTGCCTTCAGTGGTCCTATGACTTATTTTACACTTTACACTTACATTTTCATATGCCAGAGTGTCTATCAACACCTGTCTTGTGTCAGGGTCAGATACGGTTTTATTTACTGCTGAGATTAATCTTTGTATTAACACCAGTGAAGGCTTTTCCAGAACCTTGTGTAATTTTTGTAGATGACATGACTTCTTTCCTGGTTGTTCAACTTTGTCCCAAGCTCTTTAAGCTGCAAAATGACACTGTTCTCTGACTGCCATCTTCAAACTGAACAAACTGTTCTCATATATCAGCATACTGATCTTCACCTACCAACGCTATTTTGAGTAGCCCAATTACTTAGTTTGTTTCACAGACGGTGAATGCATCATTGCCTTAGGCCCTTCATTTCTACAGGATACCATCCTATTTCATCATGACCTTGTGGATCAACCCCACTAGCAGGCATATGCTGTATACGTACTAGAAATGCTGTTGGTGATTTTTTGACCAAGGGCTGTCTGTCTTCCAAAGGTGCTGTGGGTTTCACCTTATCTCCTGAAAAAGGCTGTCTCAACTGACCATCCTCCTTTTCCATTTCGTTGACTTTACTGGCCATTGACACAGTTCCTTCTCCTTTTTCTACCTGGGGAAAACTCCCTCTCTCTGCACCTCAGTCACTGGGAATGAACCTATTTGTTCTCCTTTTTTTGTGTTTGACATTTTTCTTCTGCTTTCTGATTCCCAAGCTACTCTAATTCCATCCTTTCCAGTAGCTCAGTCAGTCTTCTAATTCCATCTGCACTTTTTCCAGTTGCTCAGCCAGTCTTTTATATACGAAATAACTCAAAATGAGGAAAAACAGAGAGAAAAAAATATTGCTAAAAACTATGGGGGATGTCTCAACAACAGCTTTAGGAAACACTCTTATCAGCTTTGTGAAACAAAGTATCTATCCCCTCTTTTTTTTTTCTGCCATTTGCTCTCTAGTACTTGAAAATCAAGATTCCCATTCTATCTACACACAATGATGGCCACATGTTTTTTAATACTTTTTTTTCCTTGAAACAGCCTGACAGGTTGGGCACTGAATGTAGCTTTTTTAGTAAAATGTTGCTTTTTAGGGTTTTTATATTTTATCTCTCCTAACAATATCTTGACTAGCACAGCTCAGCTCCTGGCTCAACTGTCTTCTCTTCTCACTCTTAATGTCTCTTATCTTTACTCTGCTCAATCTCTCTTCTTCTTCTCCTCTCTAGCCCTATTTAATCTTTTTTCTTCTTGCATCTACTGTCTTCTATGACCCTACTTTTCTGTCTCTTGGAAAGTACTCCTGCCTACTCCTCCTACTCCTCTCTCTTCTCTCAGCCTCTGCTGGCTTTTTGTATTTGTTTCCAGAAGTCCAAGAGCCACTGACACTGAAAAGCATAGGGTCATTTAAAGGGCCAGGTACATAAAACACTTTATAATACACAAACTAAACTTTACTGTGTAATTAACTACTCAAAACAAACAAACAGACAGACAGGAAAATATGGGTTGACACTGTAGCTCAGTAGAGACTAAGTGCAGCTTAGCCACCAGTATAAGAGGAAAACCAAACCCTCCAACTCAAGATTCACCTGCTTTAACTTAGCTTTCAGTGTTAGACTCAGAGGCTTGAACAACCATGCCTTTCTTTAAAAGAGGAGTGTATGTGGCACTAGTGATGGAAGTCAAGCTGAGCTACATCCCTAACTCCCAAAGGAACTCTTAAAGACATTCCCCAAAAGGGAACAAATTAGAACCCCAGAACCACATTCCAAGATCAGAGTTCAGCTTCCTACCTCTGCCATCTCTTTGACTTTCTGCTCATAGAATTCCTGCTCTTGCTGCACAGCTGGAAGGAGGGCCTGCTGGTCATAGGACCTACAATGTCGACGCTTATTTTCCAGAAAGAACATCCTCTTTTCTATTTTTATGTTACCTAGAAGACAAATAACAAAGTGAAATCACAGAAACAACTATTCACCAGGAATCCAAGCCAATCATTCTGTTTTCTAAAACCTAGCACCCCACCAGCCCTGTGTGACAGGACACTCTGGCTTCCCACAGCTCATATTACAGCTGCAGACTGCATGCTTCATGCTTAATCTGTGTAAGACTTTTGTCCTTCCTTTGTGAGCACCAACTGACAGCACTGCAGTGAGCATTAAGTCTATTACCCTTATAGGGACAGTGGCTTTACAGTTCTGAACTATTACAGATACAGCTAGAATGGCCTGTTTTTGTTTACTGTTCAATCTGCCAGTCAAGTATGTAATCAATTCTCACATCTCAAGAGCAGTGTTTGTCCATGATTAGCAACCTTTCTTGTTAGTCCACACTGGAAATTCTTCACTGAATACCCCTCCTGCTATAATGTACCTAAGGAAGGAGGGAGCCAACAACTGCAGCTACTATCTATGAACTGTGATGTGCTGTCCCAACAGCCCTAGGTAGTCACTCTTGTGCTTGCAAGCACACACGGCGAGTATGCTGCGTCCTACTTCCGTGACCTCACAGAAAAGAAAGTACCAGACCACAACTTTACATGCTATCACCAACACTCAGCTTCCCAGTACCTTGTTCAAATTTGAAATCTATGAAAGAATATTGATTCATTTCTTTCCTCTTTTTCCGCTTTCCACTGGCTTCAGGTGATAGCTCCTGCCATTTTTTAATGGCATCAGAAAAGGCCTAAAAATTGAGAAAGGGGAGATTAGCATCAACATAAAGAATAAACAAACGTAAGGCAGTCCCTGAATATCATCTTCCTTACAGTGCCAACTCTGCCCAGTGTGACAACACCAAAATGCTTTCTAACAGGTTAAGAGGCAATACAAGGAAATGAAAGCTATCCACGCATGAGTACAAGCTAAGTTACATGATACTTTGGTTCCACAGTGCAGCCTACAGTCACTCTCTAGTTTCCACTAAGCTTCCTTCCCTCGCACACCAAGGTTCCTTTCTGTATGCTACATCTGGAATCCTTAAACCAACGTCCCTCTTTTCTTCCCAACCCCAGCTTCGACATTTCTTAGACCTTTCCTATCAGAACTTACAAAGACCTCATTCCCCTTTCAGCTCTTAGCCCTAGCCTTCTTTACCTCTTTCTGGCCAAAGCAGCATCAGATGCTATTTCACCGCCCATTCTTCCATGGGTGTGAACAAAACTCAGATGCTGTGCTTCCATCCAATTTCTACTCAGCCCACAGGGTCCTCATCTCCCTGACCTCCCTGGCAGCATGCACGTGATAATGCTCCCACCCACTCTTCCTCATTCCCCTGCTGGTCCACCCCATCAGAGTCTACCTGACAGACTCTAGATATCTCAATGCTTGTCTGCCTTCTGCAAACTGTTATCTCTCAAAAATCCCATCCCCAGCCATTTCTCTAACTTTTTCTGTCCATTCAACCGCCTAATAAACTGGCTGCCTCACAAACACTTCCCATTAGAGTCACATCTTATTCTTTGCATGCAAGCCAGTTCTCTTTAGTTTTCCTCTCTCTAGCAGACAATGCTACTTTCTTCCATACCTCTGTTATGTCCTTACACACCCTGTATGTTTTTCTTTCAGAGTACATCTCAATCATTAAAGCATAATTTTTCGTTTGCTTCTCTATTTCAAGTAATTTTCTCTACCAGACTGTGAGCCTCTGAAGGACCAGGATGTTGCACAGGTTTACAGAGGAAAGGCTACACCAAGTCAAACTCAAAAAGGCTAGATTCGCAGACAGGGAAGTCTGGGAACTGAAGCTCTCTTCTTTGGCAATGCCACTTCATATAGGTTTGGAGAACGCTAAAGCCTGACTAAGGGCAACACCCATCATGCTACCTTTCTGCTCTCCGTTTGGTGTGGAACTTCCCATTTATTCTTTCAGAAATTTTTAAAGCCTCATGTGCACCAATCTTTGTTTTTTTTTCTTTTCTTTTTTTTTTTTTTCTGAGACAGGGTTTCTCTGTGTCGACTTGGCTGTCCTGGACCTCCTTTGTAGACAAGGCTGGCCTCAAACTCAGAGATCTGCCTACTTTTGCCTCCCTGAGTCATGCACCAATCTTAAAGTCGTATCTCAGTACTCAGCTGGAAGAATATTATGATTCATCAACTCTGGACTGGAGATGACTTAGCAGTTAAGATCAATGGCTGCTTTAGCGCACCTGGGTTTGATTTACCACACACACACGGTGGCTCACAATTGTAACTATGGCTCCAGGGAATCTGACACCTTCTTCTGGCCTCCCCAGGCACGGGACAAGCATATGGTGCACAGACATATATGCAGGTAAAACACTGTTATACTTTCCCATCATAACTGCATTTTACAGGTGAGACCATTAAAGCAGAGGTGCTATCTGGAAGGTGAGCTTGGAGCTCCTGAATGGTGGTGCACAGGTTTGGTGGCTCCTAAGAAGAGAGGAAAAAGGCTCCTGGCTGGAGCCCTACGGGGGTTGTTATTTCATTTACAAACTGGTTCTACACAGCAGTGGGAAGTCCCACTTAAAATGAACATTCAGTACTTGTCAGAAGACCATGATCTTTTAAAATGTCATATATAAATTAAGGGAGTCTCCAAGTTTTCAGTGTAACAGCTGTATTAGTAATCAGCACTTCCATTAGTTAGTCAACTACCTAGTTCTGTGGACCAAATATGCTCAGACTGCAGTCTACGAATGCCTGTGTCTATGCACCTCGGCGCACAGGTTACTTTCCTGACTCTTAGCTGTCTGCAGCATGGCTGAAGTGAAAGCATCTTTCCACCAAGGCTCTGGTCTAGTGACCTTTTAGCTTCTCCAGCTCTCTTACTTGCCCTTAGAGCACACTGTGCCCCCAAACAAACTAAAAGCTCTTTGGTAGGAAGCTATGCTGTGTCCTCTTTTTCTTTTTTCCTCCCTCCCTCCCTCTTCAACAGTGCTGGGGATAGAGCAAGGGCCGTGTGCACCGCGGGTGTACAATGCCCCACTGAGCTCCATTCTCTCTCTCTCTCTCTCTCTCTTATTTTTTTAAAGAAATAATTTTTATTTTACATTCTTTAGTATGAAGGTTGTCAGATCCCTTGGAACGGGTGTTACAGACAGTTGTAAGCTGCTATGTGGGTCCTTTGGAAGAGCAGACAGCACTCTTAACCACTGAGCCATCTCTCCTGAGCTGCATTCTTAACCCTACTCCATGATCCACTGATACCCAGATCGTCAGGGTCAGCCAAGTAAGAAATCAAAACACCTGCCTAGGAATGACAGGAGCTCAAAAATAATATTCTTTTACCTACTGCTTAATCTTTTTTTTTTTTTTCTGAATTTATTTACATGTATAAACTAAACACCCATTCATGTGATAGTTCTTCAGTCTGATAAGTTGTTTTCTCGAGACAGGGTTTTTCTTTGTAGCCCTAGCTGTCCTAGACGACTTTTGTAGACCATATCCCTGAACTCACAGCAATTCACCTGTCTCTTCTTCCCAAGTGCTGGGATTAAAGGCATGTGCCTAAAACATCTAAAACAAGGATCAAAGTTACCTAAGAGATACCTAGAAGACACAAAGTGAGAGAGAGAGAGAGCGAGAGAGCAACCAAGATGGTTTGGTGGTGTGCATCTGTATGCCCAGCACTTGTGGCTGAAGGCTAATAAGGAAAGAGGATCCTGAGTTTCAAGTTAGTAGACTACATTGCAAGTCCCTGTTGTATGTGTGTGTTGGGGCGGGGGAGAGCCAGTAAAATGGGCATGTTGATGCCTTGAAGACAAAGGGACAGGAAGAGACTTGAGTCTGGTAGAGGATGAGTAAAGGTGGGGAAAAAATGAGGGTAGAGGATGTTAACTCAGAACACGGCTGCTCTGGCAAGAGATCATATCCAAAGGCCTTCCAGCTCTTTATGATCCAGCTGGAATAAAAACATGCCTTTAATTCAGGAGACAGAGGCAAGCAGATCTGAGTTCAAGGCCAGCCTGGTATACAGCAAGTTTCAGGTAAAAAGAAAATTAAAAACAAAACAAAACAAAACAAAAAAAAGGTTAGGTCAAGGTCCAGGTGTGGTGGTACACGCCTTTAATCTCAAACAGTGATGGTAAATTTAGTTTGTACAGGACGCATCCATGTTTGAAGATAATGTCTAATTGACTGGGAGAAAAAGTGACAAAGCAGAGAAGATTTGACAGAATAGGATACAGTCAACTCTCATGAAAAAAAGAGAGGAAAGAGACGCTACTTAAGGGGCAATGCAGACAGAAAGGCAGTTTTACTTGGGACAGTAATGGAGAGACAGGTTGCAAAGAGAGAACTCAGGTGAAGACTGATTAATGAGTCAGGAGATTACAACAGATTGTTGGAGTTAGTTTGAGGCCAAGCAGAGCAATTCAGGGGCCGAGAAAAAAAATCCACATTGACTAAGTCAGCTGGGAGAGGAGTTTGAGCCAGAACATCTGGGTTGAACCAGCCAGCTCAGAGCTTAGTAAGAACAAAAAAGGGTGAGCTTATTCACCAGTAAGTCTCAGAGGCTGAAAACATTCCAGGCATAGGTTAGGTTGTTTGGAGGCTAGAAGTTTCCAGGACTAGGCCTAGGTTAGCAAAGGGAGGCATAATCCTCCAAGACAACAACTGAAAGCAGGCGAATAAAGGTCCCTTTTACAGATGACTGTTAAAATCCACATGACAGGAGAAATCTAGGGAGCCTGGGGAGTAGACACCTGGAGAGAGACCAAGTGAGAAAACAGATTAAAAGTTGACCTGCTCCATTAGAGGCTTTAAATGCTCCTTTGATATTCCTAGTGCATGAGCTAGGGCAGATAGTCTTATTTACCGTAGAATAACTGAGAAAAAAAGCTCAACAGGAAAAAGAAAATCAATTTTCAAGCTGGTGAAGCTCACAGGCCTGAGCATGCAAACCAAGACAGCCAGTCATAGTCAATCTTGGTTCAATCTGAAATCAACTCAAAGGAAAGCCTCTGGGCAGATATGTAAGGACTGAGAAAAGACACTCCCCTACACACAGTGGATAGCACCTTCCAGCAATGGTTCAGACATAAAGAGGCCCAAGGAAAAAGCTACTGTTTTGCCTTCTTACTTTTGCAACTTTCTGAAGAGTGCATCTAGCCTGCTGCTGCCACTACCACTGCCACCCTTAAATAACTACAAAAAACCCCTGAAAACTCAAGAAAGAAAACAGAGTAAAGAGTACATTATTTGTCTTAGTAGCAAATATATTCATTCCCAAAGTCAAAAGAAAAAAAAAAAAAAAAAAAAAAACTCTAAAAACAGAGATTTACCAAAAAATATGTGCATCAAAAATGGCATGTGAGCAAGATTTCCCAGAGTTTCAAAGGCAGTGGCAGGGGGATGTTTGAGGTCAGCCTGGTCTACAAGCAAATTTCAGGACAACCAGAGCTACAAAATGAGACCTTCTTCCCCCAAAGCAAGCAGGGTGAGGTGGTACATTACTTTAATTCTAGCATTTGGGATATAGAAGCAGGGGAATCTCAAGACCAGTCAATCCATACCAGTTCCAGGCTACACAGTAAGACTCCCCTGACTCCCCAAAAAAAGATGTTGCATTTAACAATATTTGATTTCTTAAAAAATACTTACTTTTATGTTATTTGTATGTTATGAATGTAGTGACCTCGGAGGCCAGAAGAACGTGTCAAGAGCCCCTGGACTTGAACTACAGATGGGCAGTAACTTGCTTACTGAAACTGTATGAGCTAGGTACCAGATTACAGCTTTACCCTATTATCCAGTTCTTCTAATGGAGGTATGAGAGATCCTTTCTGTACTCCAAGAAACTGAAGCTCAGTGTGTACCAGATATTTGCTCAAATCTCAGATCAGTAAGCAGCAGAATGTTTGAATTCAGGAGGAAAAAAAAGAATCACCTTTAAGTTTCATCATATTCAAGATCTAAAAATGTAGAAAAAAATGCAGGGGACACATGGACCAGCTGATGACATCTGGAGATACAGATGACAAAAATCCAGACTCTTGAAACTTATAGAATAAATAACTATTTTTCTTCAACAAACAAGCTTTAAGAAATACATAAAGGAGGAAGGAGCCATGAGAACCTACAGATAAAGACTTACGCAACCAATGGCCCTAAACAAGTTTAACTCGGAGCTTGATCTCACCGACACCCACCGCACTCCAGGACCCCAGCTTTCTACAGTGCGAGTATCATCCCACAGGCTTGTCAATGTTTGGGACCTCCTGCTTCTAAGTAGCGCTTCTGCTCACCAGGCAGTGCTCCCTCATCAACCGCTATTTCCCTGACAAACTCTGAAGCTCTCTGCTACCACAAGTCCCACCTCTGTATTCTATACCTCTTCTGCCTCTGCACAAGAATCGAGGAATGACTCCAGAAGGAAGCCCAAGGGTGTACCTTTCGGGTGATTGCATAGTGTCCTTTGAGCTCATGTAGGGCCCACTTGATGTCCTGGCTGCTGAGCATCTTGAAATCAGCCATCAAGAGGTCAGCAGCTTGGATGAAGCAGCGCTGGTCAAGTGGAGTCAGTTTGGAATAGTCAAAAAAATCTATTTTAGGCAACTGAAATGAGACAAAAAGCATAAAGTTAGAGATGAGATAGCACATTCCTCCACAAGGAGGATGACAACAGGCTGGATAGAAGGCACAACAGTTAAAAACATTTGCTGTTCTGCCAGAGGAGCTGGGTTTGATTCCCAGGACACACATCAGGCAATTCATAGCTACCTGTAACCCCAATTTCAGGGAAGTCAATGCTCCGTTTGGTCCCCATGGTACCTGCATGCACACCATGGTGCACATAAACATACTCAGTCCCGACCCCCAAAAATAAACAAGACGGACAGTGGTGGTGCTCCCTGTAAGCCCAGCACTCAGGAGGCAGAGGAAGGAAAGTCTCTGTGAGTTTGAGGCCAGCCTGGTCTACAGAACTACAGCTAGTTCCAGGACAGCCAAGGCTACATAGAGAAATCCTGTCTTAAAACAAACAAACAAACAAACAAAAACTCACAATAAATAAATCTTTAAAAAAGTATATATTACAGGAAAGAATCTTGTTTGTCCTCATAATTATAAAAGGACCAGACTGAAATAAAAAAGAAGAAACGGTACATGTCTGTAATTCTGGTACTATAGAAAATTAAGGGGGTGGTCGTGGTGATGTTCAGTGCAAGGCCAGCAGAGGTCACACATTAAAAAAATCATCTGGGGGGGGGGGTTGTGTCACACAACATACTCAACATTAGTTTGTATCACAATTATTGACTAATAATCAGTTTTGAAGCTTTTGACAGTTTGATATGGGATTTGGATAAATTGGTTAAACGCACACCCTGTAAGAATGGCTATCTGCATGCTAAAATATTTTCAGGGAAGTGCTGTAATTGTTTTGGAGCTTTGGATACTTAGGATGAAAGTATTCTAATAAACAGCAATAGACGACAGATTCAATACCTTAGCTATGAGAAAATTTTAATAGTACTAGTGGTAGGTATACCAACAACCGAGGGGAAGGATTTCAATTTTTATATACATTCACAATTATAAAACATTAGAAAAACTCTTAGAACAGCAAAAAGAATCTTGACTAGTTCTTTCCCCTTTTGAGGAACTTGCTCTGTAAGATTACAGGCACAGAATTTGCTTAATTATTTTTGTTTGTTTGTTTTGTTTTTCGAGACAGAGTTTCTGTGTGTAGCCCTGGCTGTCCCAGAACTTACTTTGTAGACCAGACTGGCCTCAAAATCAGAGATTCCTCTACCTCTGCCTCCCAACTGCTGGGATTAAAGCTGTGTGCCACCATACCTGGCACTTAATTCTTTATGGGAATAAGATAGAAGTAGTAAAGAGAGAAAAAGAGTCCAGGGAGTTCTGCAAACATTCTGAAATCCTATTTTCCCTGCTTGCCTTTAAAGCCCTGTGCGAACAGCACTTTGTTGCCTTCAAGATGGTAAAGAAGGCAGCAGTAAGAGCAGATCAGGTACAAGCCCAACAAAGCCACAAGGGATACTTGCCTTTATGTCATCTTGGCTGGCAAGCAGGCTGCTGCTGGGGTGGATAATCATTCGGTCTTCTCTCTTTGGATAATCTGGGTTTTCCAGAAGAAAATTACAAAGTCTGCAAAAAAACCCCACATAATGTTACTTTCACAGTACTTTCTAAATCCCATACTTGCCCACTGAATCATATAAAACGGTTAAAAAAATTTCTCTAGAGACACAGGACAACTAAATTATCAAGAAATTAAGATGTACCAGTGGGGGCACACTCCTATAACCCCTACACTCAGGCAGTTGAGGCTGGGAGATCTCACACTTGGGCACTGCTTCATCTTAGGAGCGGGGGAGGGAAAGAATTAAGATGCAGTACCCCAGAACAACTAAGGACAGCGGGTCTCTGTTTTCACTTCATGGATGTGGTGGGACACACGTATGACACCAGCTCTCAGGAGGCAGAGGAGTCTTAGCTCTAAATCAGCTGAGCTGCACAGCAAGACTCTAACTCAAACCAAACCAAACCAAACCAAAGAGCACACTGACAAATGTAGACTCCTCTGAGTCCAACTCCCAAGAGAAGTCACTGAAAGGACTAACACTTAAGCTGCACGGAACAAGAGAGCATAGAAGGAAAAGTAGCTACTCTTCAAGAAAACTATGAGCATATAAATGGGAGTAAGTATGTATTTGCACTCAAAATCAAACACGTTTGCTAGGAGGTTTGGTTACTGAGCAAATAATGAACTGAGATGACAATGCTCTTTGCAAGCCTGTGGTAAAGAAGCTTCTAGGCATGGGAATCAGGCTCAGCTCATTAGTTAACTCCAAGACTCAGGACAGATTCTCTTCATAACAAACCCATGAGGCTTTCTCTAGTCACTGGTAAATATACTTCCCTACATCAGTGTTGAAATACTTCAAAGCTAAGATGAGGTAGCACAAGCAAACCCACCATGACACATCAGTGTGAAGACTCAATCAAAGCCAACAGTCTAGGCTCTTCACCCAGTAACCAAGCCAAATCAGAAGGCTGGACAGAGGACAGACAGCACAGTAGTCAGTGCTGAGGCTGGCCTGGGTGGGGCTCAACAGCACAGTGGCAGCTCATAGCAAATTAAGATTTTTCTCTGTGTTTTCTCCTTCCCTTGCTTGGGCAAATTTGTAGGACGACTTCTTCCTTTCAACACTCTCACCCAGTTCCTTTCTTGTCCAATGTCAGTACTAACAGCATGGTGGCCCTAACAGCATGATCTATGTGGCCAGAAGAGAACAGAGAAAAGGTGTCCCTTTCTAGGCTCCTCTTCTCACCTGGGTGGCAGTGAGAAGACCTACAAGGGGTATCGTATGTTGGGAACAATGAGAAGTCGGGTACAGTGGCATACATTGTAAATCCCAGCACTCAGGTGGGAGAGGGAGCTGAGCTCCAGGTTGGCCAAGGCTACATGGTAAGACCCTGTCCCAAAAAACAAATCAAAGAACAGGATCATTTAAAAAGTGTGAGAACTAGCTGCATGTATCTCTTCAAAGTCTGGCTCAGGCCTTTCCTCTGCCAGTCTGTTCAGTCAGAAAAGAACTGCTGTATGATTTCATGGATATGATATGCCTAGAATAATCAAATACCCTGAGACTAAAAGTATGGTGAGCTTCAGAGATGGGAAGGGGATGAGGAAGTTAAGTGTTTGATGGGTAGTGTCAGTTTGAGAAGATGATACAACTTATGGAGAGCAACAGTTGAGAGGGCTACTCAATAATGATAAATGTGTTTAATGCCAGTCAAGTGTATGCTTCAAAATGGCCAAAATGTAATCTATATTTTATCATCAAAGAGAGAGAGAGAGAAAGGGAGTGTGGTGGTTTGAATAGGCATTGGCCCCATACACTCATGTGTTTGAATGCGTGGCCCATAAGTAGTGACCTTATTAGAAGCTTCTGTCTTGTTGGAGATATGGCTTTGCTGGAAGAAGCTTGTCACTGTGGGGTGGGCTTTGAGGTCTCCTATGCTCAAGTTCTGCCCAGTGTGGACATACAGTCTCCTTGCTTTGTGTGGATCAAGATGTAGAACTCTCAGCTCCAGCACCACGTCTGCCCGCAGGCTGCCACGCTTCCCACCATAATGATAATAGAATAAACCTCTGAAACTGTAAGCCAGACCCAATTAAGTGGTTTTCTTTGTAAGAAGTCTCTCGAGATCAGTGAAACCCTAAGACAGAAAGAGAGAGGGGAAGCATGGTAGAATACTTACACATTCAAGTCATAGTAATTCTTCAAATGAATTATCTCTTCAACGTATCCATTTGCTACATCTGGAAATCTTGCTTCCTGGAAAGGAGTAAATAGTATTTATATATTGTTCCTTTGAATGGTTTTGGAAGGCAATAAAAATAAATGGCATAAAGTATATAAAATGCCTGTAGACCAGAAAAATGGCTCTAACGCAACTCTGACTGGCTTAAAAATCAGCCCCTACCGTTGGGCAGTGGTGGCGCATGCCTGTAATCTCAGCACGCAGGAGTTAGAGGCAGGTCGATTTCTTCGATTTCAAAGCCAGGTTGATCTACAGAGTGAGTTCCAGGACAGCCAAAGCTACACATAGTGAAACCATGTTTCGGAAAAAAAAACAAAAACAAAAACAAAAACATAAAGGGGGTGAGTGGTTCAGAGCTACTGTTAAGCGCACTGGCTTCCAGAGGAGCCAGTTTCAATTCTTGGCACCCATGTAGCAGCTCACAACTGTTTGTAACTCCAGTTCTGGAGGATCTGACAACCTCACACAGATATACACGTAGGCAAAACACCAGTGTACAAAAATAAAATAAATAATTTTATAAAATCAGCCCCTAGCTCCCAGATTAGAGGGTAGAGATGAGGCCTAGAAAAGCCTTAGAGGTCATCTGTCCTCTGTCTCATTTTATAGTTTATTCTCCATTCTCCCAACAAATACTAAGTGTGCAGGACAGGGATAATAAAGGTACAATCCCCATTCCTGCTGTCAAGCTCACACCAGTGAATCAGGATTAAAATCTCAGAGAAGGCTGATCTCAGAAAACAAGGCCTGCTCTCTGCTGCAGGTATCCTACAGAATCACGGCTATTAAAATGACTGATGCCCTGGAAACACAATGCTACTTCACTCAGTGGTCAGAGATTTATAATGCCCACAGAAGATAGTGGCTGCTGATGGCCCTGATCTAGGAGATCCAATAAAGAGTGAAATAAGGCCTTTGAGAAACAGGAGTTTAAAGGAATGCCAGCACCAGGCACCACGATGGTAGCACCAAAAACAATTCCTGACAGTAGACTGAAGTCTGGGTTTTAGGTTGTAGAGATATTTGAATTCCTTTCTTTCAGCCTACATATGCACTTCTTATGAAAATAAAGTTTATGCACAGCATTTCTTTGTTTACTGCAATGTCAGAAAACATAGTATAATATCAGTCTTAACAGTACAGTACTATTTAAGTGTCATAATAACAAGAAATAAACTTACTGTTTCTTTCACTAATAGTGCAATGAGTTCCTTATCCACTCCAGCAGCCTCTTGTCCCCACATGTTTTCCAGGTTGGCCTCCTGAGAGGCTGGCAGGGGGAAGGATGGCCCAGGGTCTTCATCAATTGCCAACTGCTGATCTTCAAGTTCTCCTAGAGGATGGGCTGGCTGTGGAGAAGCAGGGCCTGGAATACCCTCCTGCTGGGGTTCCGGCCTTGGAAAAGCTGGCTCTGGGAAATCATGGCGGAAGAACATTGGGCCCATTTCTGATTCAGAATGTCGCTCTTGAGGCACAACCTGGTTTGTTCTCTCCTGAGGCTGTGAATTCAGAGCCTGGAAGTAGGGATGGTCAAGCCAGCACTCCTCTTCTATCACCTGGTCATCTGAGGCAGCTGGCTCTCCAGGATTTGATAAGAGATCTGTTTCTGAGTCTTCAGATGATTGGTTCTGAACTTCCAAAGGCTCACTTTCTGGGAAAAGAAGGTCATTTTCTCCCAATATAATGACTTTCTGTTCCAATCTGGGGTTAACAACGTTGTTTGTTGTCTGCTTATTGCTTGGCCCAGGTTTGGCGGCTTCTTCTTTTTTGCCACTCCCAAGATCCACAAATTCACCATAGTCATCCTCAGAATCATCCTGCGCCCCAGAACCAAACAATGAGTTGTTACAAAAGGAAAAATAGTTGTGGATATCTGCTTCAAAGTGTGCTCTAGATTTTCTAGGCCTTTCTTCTCCCAATCTGTTCAGATCTTGCCATTGGGCAGCTGGTTTGATGAGATTGGGTCGGGATGTCTGAGGTTTATGTGTCTAAGAAGAAAATAAAATTTTAATAATAAAAATTCAATTTTCTTCCTGTATCTATGTCTGCTTCTGGACTTATACTGAAAGGACAGGAAAGAAACAAAACCAAAAGCATCCCCTGAGGGAAAAAAAAAAAAAAAAAAAAACCACTATCTTTTTTTTTTTTTTGGAGATAGGGAAAGGTCTCACTGTGTACTCCTGGCTGGCCTGGAACTCATAAAGATCCACCCGCCTCTGTCTTCTAGGCACCGGGATTAAGGGCGTCGTCATCATAAACAGAGTTCACATTTCTTTTAATACTGAAAACTGATCATGCTACAGTATATGTAGGACTCTACGTAGAGGCTGGGGAGACAGCTCGCCCCAGTGGTTAAAGTGTTTGGCATGTAAGCACAAGGACCCGAGTTTAATGACCAGTCCAGATAAAATGCTGGCTGGGCAGTACATGTGTGTGATCCCAATGTCAAGGAGGCAGAGACATGCAGATTGTAATAGCCTAACCAGCCAGTCTAGCCAGAGTGGGGAGTTCTAGGTTCACTGACAAGACACTGCCTCAAAAAACTTAGGTGGAGAACAAGAGAGGAAGCCAGCAACCCCTTAAAGTTTCTACACGTACACATAAGTGAACGGACTTTCACAGGCGTCCACGTACTCGTAACAGAGACATAGGCACACACACAGATAGACAGGATTCAAGAAAGTTTCTAAATGATTCAGCAACTCTACTTCTTGTATATGCAAACAGAAATAAAAGCATACAGTCACACATAAACCTTTACATGAATATTTACAGCAGAACTGCACACTTCATGATAGGAAAAATACAACTGAAAAGACCATCATCTGTTGTATATATAAACAGGATATCTCAATTTACACTAAAACCATTTGCGTAATCTACAAGCATGCATAGTATGTTTGCAGCCATGAAGTTGTAATGTGATGTAATTAAGAGGATAAACATGCAGTTGGGCATGGTGGCTCATGCTTTTAGTCCCAGCACTAGGGTGGGGCGGGGTGGGGTGGGGTGGGCGGGCAGAAGCAGACAGAGTTGGAGGCCAACCTGGTCTACAAAGTGGGTTCTATGACAGCCAAGGATACTCAGAGAAACTGTCTCAACAAAATAAAACAAAACAAAGAAACAAATGACTAAAGTAGTAAAGGAACCACATAATAAAACTATAAAGAAATCCATGCCTGAGAAAAACAAATGGAAGCCCCACCAGGTAAATTTCAGAGCTGTTTCTTCGGTAAAGAAAATGAATTAAACCAAGAGAATGAGTTACAAAGATGACTTCACTGTTAAAGAGTACTTGCTGCTCTTCCAAAAGACCAGTTTGGTTCTCAGAGGCAACCAACCTCTGGCAGTTTACAAATGCCTGTCACTCCAACTCCAATGACTCTGATGCCCTCTTTTGGCCAAGGGCAATTCATTCACATGTGGCATTCATTCTCACAGACACATAAAAATAAATCTTAAGAAAAATCATTAAAAAGAAGGAAGGGAAAACAATAGTTAAACTTATCAAATCAAGAAACAGGAGAAATGCCCAGTGTGGTAGTACATTCTTAATCCCAGCATTCAACTCAGGAAAGAGAGGTAGGAGAGTCTATGTAATTTCCAGGTCAGCCGGACCACATGATGAGACCAGACCAAGAAAAGAAAGAAAGAAAGAAAGAAAGGAAGGAAGGAAGGAAGGAAGGAAGGAAGGAAGGAAGGAAGGGAGGGAAAAGAAAAATGGGGACACAAATACTCAAAATAGAAAAAGAAACTAGAAAAACTATAATAAAAGTAAAAAGGACAGGCTTTAAACTGTTTTCTATTTATATATTCCAAACCATAAAGAAATAAAGCCAGCATCAAGTTCATAAAAATGTTATCAAAAATAGCCTATGTGGTGCTAGAGACACTTGAGAACTATAAAGGCATTAAGTTCTATATAATAGTAAGGCACATCATATATAATACGGTAACTGCCAAGTAAGAGCAATAAAGCACGAACAGAGATAGTAGGACATAGAAACACACCACATACAGCTCTACAGCTAAGGGCAGAAGAGACAGAGGGGAACGGGCTGTTCTCAATAGAGGCAGCTTGAAAACACTCACTTCTGTCAGGATGACATCATCATCCAGGTCGTCTTCATGTTGCTCAGTAGCTGGGGTAACCAGCATTGGAATCCCTTCCTCATCAGAGGAGTCAGATATGGTGATGGGTCCATCTCTGACACCTATCCATTCTACAGGGAGGTAGAAAATATGATCACTGCAGGGTCAGCACAGCACATTCCATCTCCACATTCACCATTGACCCAAGCCACAGCCACATTCAAGGCTACTAACAGTTAATTTAGCAGCTCAAGTGCACAGGTTCAAGTAATAATAACTATTTCCATGTTGATTTTTGCCAATGACACTGAGAAATGCCAGACAGAGCGCTCAAGATGTATCAAATTTTTCTTATGTTCAATAGGAGAAATCTGAAGGGTTTTCGCTTTTTTTGGTTTTGTTTTGTGACAGGGTCTTGTGCGATACTCATGGCTGGCTAGCGGGCTGGCTTGGTACTATGCAGACCAGACTAGTCTCAAGTTCCTGGTAATCCTCCACCTCAGCCTTCTGAGTACCAGGAATACAGGCTTTTAATGTGTTCATAACAATCTTTTTAGTTGGGTGCATTGGTGCATGCCTGAGACTGTAGCACTTAGGAAGATCAGGAGTTCAAGGCCATTCTCTAGGCATAGAAAGTTATAGAAGCCAGCCTGAAGCAGTGAGATTTTGTCTCAAAAAACAAATATAAAACCAACTCTCCTGAATGAATTATGTCCTCAGGAAACTGCAAATTTCTTTTTTTCATATATGAAATTGTTTTATTACACTGTCATAGAACTGCCAGTTTCTTTAGACTCCCCATGTTTATTCCTCATAGAAATGAAAGACTTTCATTAATTTAAACATCTGAAAGAATTATCACTCAAAAATAGTAATATATTCAATTAAGATTTAAAAGTCAGCTTACTTTCCATGTAAACTTTAACCAAGCATTTATATTTTAACACTTACTTAGCATCTACCAAGCAATCATCTGGCATCTGTGACGGGGTAATTTAACTTGCCTCCTCTCTTTAAGTGGAACCACAGCTGGTTAAATCCAAACACCCAGTTCTGCAGGTGAAGAGGGCTGACAACAGTTGTTCGTGGGCGTGTGCGGACCCATCCCTGGAGACTGCTTTCCATGTTGTGTAGTGATATCTGTTGTTACATTTCTCTTGTAGAAAGCATTTCACTATTATTATTTATTTGACTGTGAAGGCCCGAGGTGGAATATTGGCCATCCTCAATTATTACTCTCTACCTTATTTTCTGACAGTCATTCACTAAACCTGGAACTCTAGACTCAGCCACACTGAATGGCAGGGAGATCTTGGGATCCCTCCTGTCTCTAAATCCCAGAACTAGGAATACAGATAAACTGTGCCTGGCCTTAATTTTTTTTAAATAAATAAATAAATCTTTGTGGTACATATTAACACATGAGTTTGTGTGTGAGTGACAACAGGGCTCAGAAATTATGACACAGAACAGCACGAACAGTTGTTAGTTCTTGCTTTCCACCTTGTCCAAGATCTCTTTCATTGCCTGGGTATACCAGACTAGCTGGCTTGCAAGGTTCTGGACATTCTCCCATCTTGCTGTAGAACCACCCGGACTGCCAGAGAAAAGGACATTGCAGCCAGTCCTGAAGAGATCTGATAAGCTAAAGTCAGATGGAAGGGGAGGAGGACCTCCCCCATCAGTGGACTTAGGGGCAGGAGGAGATGAGGGAGGGAGGGTGGAATTGGAAGAGGATGATGAGGGGGCTACACTGGGATACAAAGTAAATAAACTGTAATTAATATAAGAAAAAAAAAAAAGAACCACCAGGATTATAGAGATACACTATCACGATTGGCTTTCTGTGGATTCAGGGGGAAGGAACGGGGAAACCAAACTCAGGTTCTGCTCAACAGGCAATTTTGCTCTCTGAGCCATCTTTCCAGGGCTTTGTGCACACTAGGAAAATGCACCATCACAGAGCTATATCCCTAGCCCTAACTTTGTTTTTCCTTTTAGACAGGGTTCTACACTGTAGCTCAGGAACTTACTGTACAGCCTAAGCAAGCAAACACTACAAAAAAAAAAAAAAAGGGTCTAGCTCCATGAACTGTCACCATCTTGACAGATTCAGGGAATATTTGTCGCCCACTGGCAGCCTTCTTTGCCTGTTCCCATCACTGCTCTCTCTTCTCAAAGGCTTCGAGCTCTACAGATTAGCTTTGGGGCTGTAGGTAGGGACTCTTCTTCTGTGTCCGGCTCCCTGCAAATCACATGATTGGATACACCCATATTGCTATGACGACAGTTCTATTTGTTTCCTGTGAATCTGCTCTGTGAATATATCATAAGTAAGTCGTTCCTCCCTTGATGGACATGGTGTTAATATGAGCTATTTTGGATGTTATATACATGCTTTGGTGTGCGCATTTCAGTTGGGAACACTCTAGGAATGGAATGCTCAGTCACGGTAAACATATGTTCAATCTCAGGAGACACACTGTACTGCTAAGCTGATGCAACAGAAACACATGGTCTGCAAGGCAGTACTAACTACTTGGACCTGAATATTTGTTGATCCCTGACTTGGACTCAATTTCCCAGCTCTACTTGATATATAACACATGCACTTTGAGGCCTCGTTTTCTTTAAAAACATAGATTTCCACTGTGATGGGTTAGTCTGAAATATTCTTTTTTTCAAGACAAGGTTTCTCTGTGTAGCCCTGGGTGTCCTCGAACTCAGAGAGATCCACCTGCCTCCGCCTCCCTGAGTGCTGGGATTATAGGCATGTGCCACCATGCCCAGCTAACATTCTTCTAATAAGAACTTGTGGGGCTGGAAAGAAGGCTCAGTGATTAAGAGCATTGGCAACTCAACCAGAGGTGCTGAGTTCAAGTCCTGGCACTCATAGGCTCACAACTATCTATAATGGCATTCAATGCTTTCTTCTGTTATACAGTCATACATGCACGCAAAACACCCAATACATAAATAAATCTCAAAAACAACAACACCTTGTAATTGATTTATGTCTTAATTCCAATATGCTGGGCAAAAGAATTATAGCCAAAAAAAAAAAGTGTACTCTGGTTCCTTTTACAGGAAACTGAATAATGACACAAAGTAGATGAGTGGCCTCCTGCACTCCAGATGGAGTAAGGAGCTGCAAAGAAGCACAGAAGAGTCTTCAGAAGGTAGCAGAAATGCTCTGCTGGCATTCTAAGGCTGTAAGTTCCTTTTTCAGAACTCTTAAGGAAAAAAACAGACTCTGTGCTGGACTCACACAGTCTGAACCACCAACCAGAGCATGGACCTAAACTCCCTACACGTATGTAGCAGATGTGCAGCTTGTCGTCACATGGGTCCCTTAACAATGGAGTAGAAGCTGTCTCTGACTCTGCTGCCTGTCTTTGGATCCCTTTCCCCTAGCTGCCTTGTCTGCCCTCAGTGGGAGAAGATGCCAGTCCTGCTGTGACTTGAGGTGCCGGGGTGAGCTGATACCCCTTAGGGGCCTCCCCTTCACTGAGGAGAGGGAAGAAATGGTGTGAGAGCAAGACTGGGAGGAGAGAAGGGAGGGGGCTGGGATCAGGCTATAAAGTGATTAAATGAATAAAATTAAAAATAAATAAGCTGGGTTGGTGGCGCATGCCTGTAATCTCAGCACTCAGGAGGCAGAGGCAGGCAGATCACTGTGAATTTGAGGCCAGCCTGTTCTACATAGTGAGTCCAGGACAGCCAGAGCTACACAGAGAAACCCTGTCTCAAAAAAAGAAAGAAAGAGAGAAAGAGAGAGAGAGAGAGGAAGGAAGGAAGGAAGGAAGGAAGGAAGGAAGGAAGGAAGGAAGGAAGGA